ATTTAATTTTCTGCACAGAAGATATTGAAAATCAATAGCATGATTCATAGCCTTACCATATCATTGCCATGCTGCTGTTAGTTGGCTGTTTGAGTTTAAAGAACACAAAGAGTATTAAAATTGATTGAATTTGGGGTGCTGAGTCTGTATCTTTACTTGGGAACCTCAGATTGTTTCTTTTGCAAATCTCTGCTCCTTGCCAGTAATATATTATGTTGCTTAGTATACTCAATTCACATCTTTGAGTGCTATTCAAATAATTTCTAAAAATTGTTTTTTAAAAAACACCTTATTATATGATGAAAATACATTTGAAGAGGGGAGTAAAATTCTTTTGTTTTAAATTATAGAAGTGCCATTCGTACATGCTTATGTTCTTAGAGAAAAAGAAATCGCACATTACTGACGTGGATGGAATAAAAGGGAAAACTAAATATAGTCATCTTTAATGAATAGTTTATATGTTAAAAAGAAATCTGGTGTTGGGGTGATAAAGTCCTTTGCCTCCCTGTTCATTTCTGAGTTGCCTCCCTAAACAGTCGCTTATGAGGAACTCCAGATCATTCCCTCCAGCTTCATGTTTTAGATGTTTGCTATTGTGATAATTGGGCAGCGACTAGAAAGTGAGGCAGTGGGAAGGTCGTGGTTTTGCTTGTGGCTGATATGAATACACACATGTACATATACACAGATAGATGCACCCACTCTTATCCCCCCCCCAATACAGACACTATCAGCCTTTTTGTTGTTCATGTGTGTGCGTAGTCATTCGCTCACTCATGATCGAATACCTACCATCTTCCAGACGCCATCATGGATGGTAGGTTGAGAGCTCCTTATCTCTGGGGAGCTTGGAGCCTGTCCTAGGCCACACAGCATGTCCTTCAGAAGCAGGTTTTTTGCCCATTCTTCACCTTGCTGTGTGCAGCTCACATTGTACCTCCATACTTTTGGGGGTGTGATGAAGACGGGGTTAGCCCGCCTTCCTTGGGATAGCCCTGCCCTCTGCGTTACCTCTTGTCAGTTGGCCTGTTTCCAGCAAATACACACGGCTTGTTTTTTTGTCCCAAGCGAACTCCCTTTAGACAGCTCTGCCCCTCAGTTGAGGCCCCTTAGTTCACAGTGTGCTGCATATGGATGGCTGCGAAGGCAACTACTCTTTGAGGTGTGGATTCCATTACTTTGCAGTGCCAGGGGAGGACCTTCTGACGGTTATACCTCCCTTGTTTCTTGAATTGGGTACGTCTTTGTAGGTTTGCTTTTTCCACTAATAGTTCAGTGGGCTTGGGAAGCTGGCAGGTGTGGGATCCCCAAACCTGCTTACCTGATGAAGCTCTGGGCTCTGTTGCTTTGCTTTTCCTGCAGGATGGCTAACATCGCTGCCCACACGAAAGCAACACCCATGAGAGATGGTTCTGGCAGCCCTTGTCCTCCTTTGTTCCCCACCCGAGTCTTCTCAAAGGTTCTGGAAAATGACAAGCACCTCCTTTTCAGGACAAAAGGGGGATTGGTTGTAGAGATTGTGATTTCAGATAACACCTTCTGTAAAGGGTATAAATGAATATCCTTGAGGATGATTCCATTCCTCCTTTCCTTTTACATCTGGCTCATTTGTGTGTGAGCTTTTCTGGTTGAGTTCAGATTTAGCCACATTGTGAGGTTGATGCTACACCCGTGTGATTTCTGTAGTAAGCGGTTCATCCTTGCCTGGCCAGCCTTTTCCCAGGGTTAACTTAGCCAGTCAGGTTCCAGGCTGTGAGGATGAGTTGAAGGACTGTCAGAGTTGAAGGGGGTCTCTCTGGTCTAGCTCAGCAGGGAAGTTTGTATTTTTATCTCTGACTTCAAAATTGAATCACCTGGAGAACTTCCTTTAAGAAAAGTACCTGTATGCTGTATCTTGGTGCCTCCCCAGATCAAGTGAATCTGAATCTTAAGTGGTAGCCCTCCAGGGCATAGATTATTTGTTTTGCTTTTGTTTTGTTTTTAAAGCATCCAAGTTGAGAATTAGAGCTCTAGTCCAACAATGACCTTTTATGCATGGAGAAATTGATGATCAGGTGTAGAATTGACTCATTTGAAGGTCACCAAGGTCACCTTTATAGTATCAGTTGGGGATCTTTTGTATACAAGGGACAGAAAAGGGAGCTTTGGCAGGTAATTTGTTCATGTAAATATAAAGCTTCCCACAGGAACAGTTTCAAATTACCTTTGTCATGGGCTTTAATTTTGTCAGCAGAATTGATCTATAGATTTTGCTTCCCCTGGTGTGGTTGTATTTTTGAGCTCCTCTCTTCATCTTCTCCTTGACCCCTAGCTAGGCTCCTGAGGCTTTCTGGATCCTGCCCTAACCCAGCCAGGAAGAAGGAAGAATCTCTCTGATTGACTGATGTCCCCACTGCCAAACATGTCACTGGGACCAAGGGCATGGTTTACAATGATTGGCTGGTTTAAGCCAAACAAGGCCCCCTTGGAGCTGGCAGGGATGGAGTGACAGGATAGACTGTCCATTACATGACTTAACAGGTAGACTTATGGGGCGTGGGTGTGATAATGACAAAATCAGAGTCTCTGTAACAAATTTTTTCTCTATTATTTGGTATTTTTGAATCACTCTGTGCCCAGTGCTTAGCTGCTCTGCTCACAGTTTCTTGTGGTGGTGTTGTAACAATGCTATGAAGCTGCTACTTGTAGCTTCATTTAACAGGCAAGGAAATTCAGGCTCAACCACATACCCTAATGGAGGTCACATTTCTGTGTTCAAGGCAGTGTTTTGCTCATTGCCTTGACAGAAAGAGGAAGGATTATTTGGGAATAATTATTTAGAGTGAACTAGCTCTAAGAAGCATATTAAACAGATACATAAAAAAGTTTCCCACATGCACAGAAAACAAATAAGCCGGACAATTATTTATGTAGTGTGCTTTAATGCAGGGAAAAAATAGGAGTGTAGGAGATGGAAAATTTTATTTTTGATCTCTAGAAGTTTAAAATGGTCAACTTCCTGGATCTCTGCATGGCTTATCTGCAAAATAGTAGGATGGATTGCATGGTGGCTACCTAAACCTTTATCAACAAAAATTTTAATTTTTGTTGTTCAGGACCAACGAACAAACATAAATGGTATCAGTATCAGGTTTACTTTTCAAGCATTTTTTTTTTTAAACCAGTGTTTGGAGTTGACATGCAATCCTAAAGCATAGATCTCCTTGACTTTCGATGGGGTTATGTTCTCATAAACTTGTTGTAAGTGGAAAATATCTTGCACTGAGAATGTATTTTATACAGCTAGCCTACTGAATGCCCTAGCTTAGCCCAGCCTGCCTTAAACATGTTCAGAATGCTTACATTAGCCTACAGTTGGGCTGAATCATCAAACACAAAGCCTAGCTTATAATAATGTGTTGAATGTTTCATTTAATTCATTGGATACTCTACGGAATGTGAAAAACAATGGCTGTGTGAGTACAGATGGTTGGAGGTGTGTTGGCTGGTGATCCTCATGGTCGTGGGGTTGATTGGTAGCTGTGCCCTCTGCTGCCCAGCATAAGGGCAAGAAGATCTTACCCGGCATATTGCCAGCCTGGGGAAAAGATCCAAATCCAACCTCCGAGGTTCGGTTCCCACTGACTGCGTATGGTTTTTGCACCATTAGTAAAGCTGAAAAATTGGTAGGTCGGTCCGTCGTAAGTTGGGGACTGTCTGTACTTTACATGTTTCCTAATATGCCATCATGGTGACATCATTATCATTACTTTGACAAATTCAGAATGGAGAATGTACTGTTTTCTTAGTGCCTTCCTAATCTTAAATTGAATCTACAGTTCTCCTAACCATTGTCCCTGCTTTTTAAAAGCACACTTGATTTTGTTTGGGTGCATTTAAATATTAACATAGATAGCTGGGATGTATTGTTTGAAGTGTAATTTCATTTCATTTTGGATTCTGGACACCTGTGGTATTTGTGTTCTTACATGTCAGTGTGTTCGGGTGTGGGCTCACAAGAAGGGAAATTTACATTCATGAATTGGTTGGGAGGGGAGGAGTTTGAACACTGTAGCAGGCTCTCTGTAATGGCATAGAAGATTGGTCATCATGAAACAGGGTTTCTTTTCTGAGCATTGTTGACCTTGCGGGTTTCGTGTTTCATATCTTCAGGTATAACAGGTGACTGTTTAGGGTCTAAAGGATGTGGAGGATGTGTACTCACCATGGGATGTCTCCCAGGCCTTAGACTGCGATGTGTTTGGATGGCAGAAGCTGTGGCTTTGATGCAGGCACGCTCATGTTCAGTTCCCCGGTGGCTGCATGCTTATCTGTGTTACCTGGGACCAGTTACTTAGTGTCCCTGAGTCTTAATTCCTCCAGTTGTAAAAGAGACCAAATGACCCCTTGCTCTGTGAAGATCAAATAAGGCTTAGAGGCCTTTCGCAGCTAGGACCTAGGCTTATCTACCTAGCCGGAATAAAAACCGCGGATTCCAAGTCTACTAGTCGAGGGACATTGGGCCAGTTAAAGTTATTTAACTTCTGTAACGTTCAGTTTGCTTATCTATAGAATGGTCTCATTACTGGGACCACCGGATGTATTGTCTAGTAGTGTTCTGCGGACTGTGTAAGATACTATATGTCAGGGGCTTAGTGCACCATGCTTGGTGACTCAAAGGAAAGGCTCATTGTAAACTACTCTTCGTAGTAATCCTGATAATCTGGTTATATAGGTTATCCTAACCTATATTATAGGTAATATAGGTTATCCTATAGTTGTGTTTCTGTAAGTCAACAGGTTCTATTCCATTATCCCTGAGGTGTGTGCTTCTGGGAAGTCACCCGAGGTGTGTTGGACACCCTTCCTATGTCCAGTGAACTCACTGTGCTCTCCCTCTCTTCCAGCCTTGACAGAAGGCTACGTCGGGGCCCTGCACGAGAGCAGACACGGCAGCTCAGCGCAGATCCGCAGGCGTAAAGCTTCAGGTGACCCGTACTGGGCCTACTCCGGTGAGTTGATCTGTTCCGACCAGGATCACACAGGCCAGTCACCAACCCCGTGAAACTCACCGGAGAGTACTCTTTCAATCAGTTTCACACCTAACTTGTTTGTTCAAACCTTTGGTAGTTCACTACAAGTTGCAACACCGGAGCCTGTTTTTCCTCAAGGTTATATAAGTACCTTAATTTATCTCTCCCACCTGTTTTCTCAACCTGCTTTCCCCCCCCCTTAATTTGCATTTATTTCTGAACTTTACTTGTTAATGAGTTATTGTACCAAACATGTAATTTCCCAAAAGACACAGCCTTTTCTTTTCTGTCTTTTCAGTGGCTGTGATTTCAGAAAGCAGCAAATACAAGGCTAGTCTTCAGCTGCTAAATGTCTGCTAAATATTACAAAGCGTCACATATCAAAATGATCTGTTGTGCTTTAATCTAAAAAAAAATGCAACTTTATTTTCAAGTCAGATCTTGTTAGTTGAATATATTTCAGCCCTCTATGGCATTCTGCAGTTCTTTTCATTTTTGCTTTTAAACTTTTAGCCTTCAAGCCAGTGGAGATAAGAGAGCATTATTAACATTATGTTGAATGTTACACTGCAAATAATTTTCTTACATTCTAAGGGGGGAATAAAAATGAACACCTACAAGAATATACAGACATTTCTGGATGATGCTTCCAGCAACCATCAAAAGTAAGATAGGTGGATTGTTAGTTCCAAACGAGATTTTGATGCTTACAAATATATGGAAAATGTATTGTAGCCAATTAAGGAGGAAAGGCTGAGGAAGATAGACAACTTTGGAAGTTATGGTGGCATTGAATAATTCAAATAATTTGTAGGAAAAGGCTTGAAGGCATGGGGTATTAGTATTAATAATAAATCTGTGTTTATGCAATGTCATTGCATATAGAATTGCAAGGCATTATTTTCATCATGATGCTCTGGTTTTCAATCCTGAATTTCCACCTGCAAATCTTGTTAAATTTATGTCACTGTAAAATTTATAGGCTTGATCTTTAATTACACCTTATCTATTGGCTTTTTGCATCCTTTTGTCTATTGATAAATCTCCTGCCCCTACGGGGAGAATAGCCTATCTGTTTTGTTTTGCAAGGAACAGATAGCGATTCTGAAGTCTTCCATCACACCCAACTCCTTGTGATTAGAATTATCTAATTAGAGCCTTTTTGTCACCATTTCTGATAAATGAAGGAAATTGCGCGATGAAGGCCAGAGTTACATATATACGTAGCTTCTTGCCAAGAAACGCGAAGAAAATTTATCATTTTGTACCCTGTGGCTCCCATATCAGTTAGGAGGAGGCGTAAAGTGGCCTGCTATTTACAGTTCATCAATCTAGAATAATAATGCTGTTAGGCAAGAAATTGGAAGTTCTATCCCATCAGCATCTCTGATTGCAAGTGGCAGCGAAGAAATGAAAGACCTAAAACTTTTGCCATCACTCAGTTAAGAATGGATGCATGTGGTGCAGTCTTTGGAATGGAGCAGTTGTTGACATCCTTAACTCCAGTGGACCTAATGAGTCTCTGTTTTGCATTTACGGAATGCATTTCTGGAATAGATCTGGGAACTGCCTCTATCAGCAGAAGGGCTAGTAGTTCAGTGGCAGGCTTTTGGCACCTCTTTTCTGTAAAAACTCCAGACAGTACATATCTTAGGCTTTGTAGGCTACGTGTGGTCTCTCTTCCACTGTCGTGCAGAGGCAGCCATTGGTAATCCTAGATAAACTGGCTGGGTTTCCAGAAAAATTTATTTATGAGCACTTAAATTTGAGTTGTGTATAATTTTCATGTTTCAGGAAATATTATACTTCCTTTTATTTTTTTTTCCCCTCAATCATTTAAAAATAGAAGAACCATTCTTACTTCACGGGCTGTATTAAACTAGGTGGCCAGTTGGGTAGGTTGGATAAGGTCCACAGGCTGTAGTTTGTCAACTCCTCTCCTAGTTTTTTTTTTTTTTCCCTGGGTGGGATAGGACAGTCATACGAGGAATCTCCCAGAAGGCTATAGAGTGGTTTGGAAGAAACAGAGAAATTACTTCCTTAAGGGGAAAATGGAGAAAATAAAAAGTAAAAGAAGAAGAAAAGATTGAGACAGATATCAATTGATGGTATATAGTCCATATGCTTTAACTTAGTTCTTCCTGAAAATTCTATGGTATCCATGGTTGCTTCACTCCAAAGTGCTGGAATATCGATTTTCATGTCAATAAGACTTTGGGTCCATCAGAGACACTTCTTAGCATTTGGCCAATAGACAAAGACAGATCAGGAAGGGGTTGTTGTCTGTCACTTTGGGCACTTGAGACCAAGGCCTTGAAACCACAGTAGACCAGAGGTCTGCTCTGAGATACAGGTATATACACCTCTAGGTATAAATGCTGCTTCGAAAGCTGGTGTGCCAAGGGAAAGGCTTGTTGTTTGTAGAGGGAATTGTTTTTAAATTTAGCAAAAGTGAAGCAGGCCATTTCTAAAAGGTTGGTTTGATGGTCTAGATTTTAGTTTCATGCCTCTAATTCACAGATTTGTCTTACTTCCTCCTAAGATAATATCATTGGTGCTTTGGGGGTATGGTGTGTGAGAGTATGAATTTTGAAGTCATGTAGACTATGGCTCAAATAGGAGTTTTATCTCCTAACACTTAAAAAAAATTTTTTTTAAATGTTTATTTATTTTTGAGAGAGAGTGAGAGACAGAGCATGAGCATGGGAGGGGCAGAGAGAGAGAGGGAGACACAGAATCCGAAGCAGGCTCCAGGCTCTGAGCTGTCAGTACAGAGCCCGACGTGGGGCCCAAACCCATGAACCGTGAGATCATGACCTGAGCCGAAGTCGGATGCTTAACCGACTGAGCCACCCAGGCGCCCCTGTCTCCTAATATTTTTGTGACATTGGGAGGACATTTAATTTCTTGTAGATTGAGGTTCTCCATTTTTGAAACGGGGATAATTAAGAACGATTCCCTCATAGAGTTGTTTTGGGGATGAAATGAGATGATATGTGTGAAAAGTAACATAGTCTCTTGCATCCAGTACCTAACATTCCTGCTGATTTTGACATGACTATTAACTACTTTTGGTGCTGTTGATGTTGTTAATTGCAATTCTCAGTGGGTACCTGTGACGGGCCACTGGGTGATCGCTTGGTTATACTGGGAGCTGAGTAAGCTAAATTTTTTGTCAGTTATATTCACAAGAACTCCCCATTTGGGATTTGGGAATGAGGGTTTAAACAAACTATCCTCAACTGTACTATACAAACCATGGCTGTTATTGTGTATAAAGTTTTACTGAAACACAACCATGCCCACTCCTTTGGGTATTGCCTACGGCCCCTTACGTGGTGGGGTTGAGTAGGTGCTACAGACTGACCAAAAGACCTAGGATATCTTTATCTGGCCCTTTAGAGAAAAGGTTTACCAACTCCTGCTCACATTGAGATAGCTTGGGTTTTTGAGCAGATATTAGCCTGACTCATAAACAGAACTGTTCAGAGATTTGGAAAATGTCTTCTTTTTAAAAAAATTTTTTCCTCCCTTGCATTTTCCCTTGAGCTGCAATGTCCTCAGCAAGTCTAGTTAGCATTCAGAAGGGAGTCTGGTGGAAAGGACTGGGGAGGAAGAAAGAGATGAATGGAGAAGGATGTGCTACAGGAGCTGGATCAGGGAGAGGGTTGGGTGTTGGCGCTTCTGGGGTCCCGTGCCCCTGGGTTACTGCGTCCTGCTCAGTAGGCTGCCTTTGTGGAGGTGGGGTTTGGTGCCTGATGCTGACCCAGTTACTCTGCTGGCATCCCACCACGTTCACTTTAGGAGAGTTGTGCAGGTTTTCGAGCTGGGGATATTGTCACGACAGTAGTTCATTAATGTTAGTGTAACTTTCGCATTAGGACTAACCAGGTTATTTCCGTTTGTCCGTATCATTTTGGGTAGTGCACACTTCCTCGTTACATTTGAGATGCTAAAATCTTTACTTCCGTAGGCTTATCAGACAGTGCCACTGTGAACATCTAGCATAGAGGACTGTTTATTGAGGAGCCTGGAAATACGTGCTCTGGTCCCATTGGGATCATCTGAAGATTGGTTATCTCTCTGGGTTTTATTTTCATCTACTGTAAAAAGGGGGTGGGGGTCATAATATCTGAGTCCAATGTGAAAGTCTCATGCATAAGAGATACGAAGTGGAGCATAAATGTAAGATATTATTATTGTTAAATGTTAATAATAGCTTTGTAATTTCAAGATTACTTTCTATCTTTGGGTTTATTTTCCTTATTCCAAGATAGGGACAAAAGGGGAAAGACCTCTTTATGTATTTCAGAATTATACTGGAAAAAAAAAACCCCAAAGATTGAATAAGAGTATCTCACTGGAAATATTAAAATAATCTCACTGTTAGTTTTACTTGACTAAGACACAGATATTTTTCTGTGTTACTTGAAGTGATGACAGCTCATGAATTTTGGAATTTGCCCAGAAGTTCTGTAATTATTACACAAAAAGTAACAAATGCTAGGTAGGTCATTGTTGCCGGAAAGGGAAATGAGAAACAAATCTGGAGCAAGTTCAAGGGGAAATTGGAGGCATTTTTATAAAGCTATCTGTAGAGACTTGGGGAAATGTAAGTTGTGGTTTCTTCTCCTACCCTTTTTTTACTTACCCTGTTTGATTTTCTGCATTTCAGGTAATCCATACCTCATGTTCCTTCTGTGTAGAAAGAGTCTATCAACCAGTACATGGGGGGACAATTCTCATTGTTAGAGGAATCCAAAATTGAGATGAGTGATGCCAAAACTACCTGCAAGAAGTGTCTGGTGTTGTGCTGAGCAGTGGTCAAGCAGGATTATTCTAAGAGGCATTCCAGCTGTGGCCAGGACATCATAGGAGGAGGCATTCAAGGTCCCTTTTCATTGTCCTGGTTGGTGACTTACTCGGCTGTACAATGGAGACCAAAAGAGGACATATCTTGCAGGATGGCTTTTTGAGGGTTATATGTAACATATGTAAGCACCTGCTATGGTGCTTGGCCCCCGCTCTGGAGTGGAATACGCATTACCCATTTGGCTCTTAATTATATGCCACCCCACTACATTCTTCATATAGACATCTTGTTTTAGAATGCACGTGCGTGTGAGTATGTGGTGCATGGAGGTGTATGTTTCATTTCCCTAGCGAAATGTAGAATCCTTGAGGATGAGGATTATAAGTCCTTTTTTTTTTTTTTCCCTGCTGTGTGCCCGAGTGTCTCATTTTGTGCCTATTTGGTGCATATTTTTCAAGTGGGTGAATGGATGTACAGATAAATGAACTCCTGTCAGAGTCTGGGCTTGAGGACTCACTAAGGGGATCCTGCCATGAAATTCAGATAAATTAGTGGGTGATTTACAAAAGGCTTCCCCATTGGATCCTTTTAATCAGCTCCCCTGGTGAACTTAAGATATAATTAAATTCCTGAAATATAATTTCCATGCCTCTTTTTAATAATGCCTATGAAGGGTAAAGCAAAATATACCTGCCTGTAGAAGTCTGCTCTTGTGATTGGGAGAATGGAAGCCACATTAGGACCTCAGAGTTTCATATTAATATTGTATTGTGTGCTCTTCTCCTAAAGCCTCCTGTGAAGTTTCTGAAGGGAATCATTTCCCTAGAGACATTGCGTTTGCAATAGAGAGCTTCTTATCTGATGGAACCGGACCGTTGGGGAGGAATCAGTCTTGAGATTCATGTTCCAAGTCCCAGCTCAATGTTCCCTCCACTTTGATGCCTAGCCTGAACCCCCTCTCCCTTATCAGTCTCCCTTTGTTTTTCTTTTTCTTAAATTAATTAATAAAAAAAAAAAAGCTTATTTATTTTTGAGAGAGAGGAAGAGAATGAACAGGGGAGGGGGCAGAGAGCAAGGAGGAGATAGAATCCCAAGCAGGATCCAGGCTGTCAGCACAGAGCCCGATCTCACCAACCCTGAGATCATGACCTGGACTGAAATCAAGAGTCAAATGCTTAGCTGACTGAGCCACCCAGGCACCCCAACCTCTCTTTGTTTTTTTACACTTAATTTCTCTCTTTATAACTCCCTATTACTCTATGAACCATTCTAAGCAGAAGATACTTATTCACTGAACACACTTATTAATTACTTACTATATGTCAGGTGTTGTGCTATAATGGGAGGGGTCAGAGAGGCTCCCAGAATTATTGCTGCCTGATCCCAGCCGTTAAAGGTGGGCAGGTGTTTTCCAGGACATGAGGAGGCCTTGAGGCGTGAAATGACCTGGCAGTGACTGGGAAAACGAAAGGAGCTCAGTAAGTGTAGAGCATATGGTAGGGTGGAGGAAGTTGAGGGAATATTGCAGAGTATTGGACCATGAAGAGGCTTTCAGTATTCTACCAGTGACCTAGAACATCTATCTGAGAGTGATGGGGAAGCATTTAAAGGTTTCGTGGTGGAAATGGAGTATGTTGGCTTTGTATTTGAAGAAGACCACTGGTTGTAGGGTTAAGGATTGGTCAGTGGGAGAAGTAGGCAGGGTGAAAAACGGTGAAGTTGTATTATCAGAGATTTGAGAGATAAAAGGAAAGAGTTCATGGGAATTCATTACCATTAGTATCTGGAAGAGAATGCAAAAGAAATCGTCTAGGATAATCCCTCGGATGATGGAAGATGGCATTGCATTTAATTTAAAATGAGTCAAGAGGAGTGATGGGCTGGGTATGAAGGTAAAAAATTTGGACTTGAATATTAATTTTTTTTTTTCAACGTTTATTTTTGGGACAGAGAGAGACAGAGCATGAACGGGGGAGGGGCAGAGAGAGAGGGAGACACAGAATCGGAAACAGGCTCCAGGCTCTGAGCCATCAGCCCAGAGCCTGACGCGGGGCTCGAACTCACGGACCGCGAGATCTGACCTGGCTGAAGTCGGATGCTTAACCGACTGCGCCACCCAGGCGCCCCAGGACTTGAATATTAAGATATGGTGTAGTGTTTTGTCTGTATTTCCTGCTCTCTTAAACCTTATGTTGCTTGAACAGAACCTTTGTGTGTAATTAATCTTGGTATTTCCCAGTTCTTAGTTAAATGTTTTGAAATAGGAGGGCCTCAAGGTAGGGAACACATTGAAGAACAAACTGTTTCTTCCTATAGGTACTGTTTTTTCTTTTACACTTGATCTGTGATTACAAGGATAGATAGGGTGAGAAAAAAACACATATGGTCACACACTAATCAGGACTTTATGTATAAAAGAGAAAAGTGTGTTGCCATATGCTTAAGATACCTTGAGCATTTTTTAATACTTGGCCAAGTTTGGCTTTTTCTTTCCATCTCTCCCCCCCCTCCACTGTTGGAAAGAGACTGTTCTCATATTTTAAAGATGCCTTCTTTTTCTTTTCTTTCTTTCTTTTTTTTTTTTTTTTTAAACCTTCTTGTAATCTTTGCCACCTGAGTATTTAAGTTTCTTGGCATCTTCTCCCTGGAGATGGTTTCATGAGTGTTTGCCAAGTTCATGGATGCTATTGTATGCTGTAAAGGACATCAGTAAATTCCTTAGGGTCCTTGTGACCCTTGGAAAAGCCTCTTAGGAAGATGAAATATTGTTCACTGCTGTGTTCGTGTCAAGAAATATATATCAGTGATAAACACTTTGAATTGTTGCTCTGATGGGACATTTAAAATGTGGTTAAATGGAAGCCTGAGAGTGTGGGTTTTCAACTGACTCTGAAGGTAGGTTGGTGGAGCCTTTTTGGAGGGTTCTCTGGCAATATGTGTGAAAATGTTAAATATTTATAGTCTTTGATCCAGCACTTCTGTTTCTAGGAATTTGTGTTTTAGAAACACTTGTGAACATCCCCAATGTGACATTGTGTTTAACAGACGAAGTAATCATAACGAGGGACTTGGGTAATTATACTACATTCTTATGATGAAACTCATACTACGCATCCACCAAAGTGAAATAGGCAGAAGATACTAGAATAATGTGGGTAATAAGGTCCTATTAATGATTAGAGCTGAGAGGTCTGGAGACTATAGACAGAAGTTAATTGTGGTTATTATTGAAAAATGAGGGATATTTCCTTTTTTTACATTTATATCTATAATACTTTAACATGTTACAGAATTATATCTAGAACATTTTAATTTCTTATACCAGTACATTCATAATATTTCCTAAAGTAATCCTTTTATTTTAGAGTAGATGGCTGAATGGTATTAAATGTAGGCAGTTGCCTTTGTAACAATTTTGAGGAGAGAGAAAGAAAGGAACAACTAAAAGGAAATCCAGAAGGGAGGTAAAAGCTCTTTTGTCTCTATAATTGGCTGTATCCAAACTTTTTAGGTGGAACAGTCCACTGGCATTTCAAATTTTGTAAAATGCTGATATGAACTGTGCAGAAATTAATGAACTGATATTGACTCAGTTTGAAAATGAACATCAAGATTTATTGAGCAAAGCAGTAAATATTGAGCCAGGCAGAGATAAGGTCAATATTTGCTTTGATACAACATAAATCTTAATATTCAATAATCTATAAATTTAGTGTCTACAGAAGGCATACAGAGTTATCTATAAGTATATATCTTTTCATATCTGTGATGGATTAGAGTCAAGTATCTTTTTTCCTGGTTATAAATTTGAACGGATGATGTTCTCTCCTTTGAAACTAGCTTGTTGGGGGCAAAAGTGGGGGGAGTGTGGGTTAGTGGAAAGACATTATTACTTTAAAATTTCAAAAGAAAGATATTCCTAGCCTCATACATGCCTAAAAAAAAAAAGCTAGAAAGCAATTATCCGAATGTGCTGTGTGATTTACTTAAAGGCTGGTCATCTTTTTTCTGACCTAACACTATGTGCTCATTTATTATATCTGATTTGGTTCATAAAACCCACTACCCTGACTCCCTGAATAGGGAAATATTCTACCATTCCCTTTGGATATTGGTAAGCTATGTTATGTGGAATTTCTTTTTTTCTTTCTTTTTTTTTGGGTGGGGGGGGGTGGCAGGAAAAATGTCATTGATACATATCATGATGAGTAACTCTTTATTGGCCATTCTCTTTATTGAAATATTAAGTTGAACTGCACTCTTTATCTTGTTGTCTCTTTTATTCATGGGGTGGGCATGGTGGCAGTATAAAAAGCAGAACTGTCTTGCTGGACTGTGAACTTTTATTACTGCTCATATGTAGCTGGTATGAGTGTCCCATGTGCTTAAAGACTGAATTTACTCAGTCCACAAGTTCAAGTGTAATTAATCTGTACAGGAGCAAAAGTCTTATATGGTTCAGTTGATGTCAGGCTACCTTCTGTATTCTTCCAGTCTGAGGACAGTGTACCGTGGCAGTGTTAGCCTTGAGTGGTTTCTTTTCTTTTTTTTAATGTTTATTTATTTTTGAGACAGAGGGAGACAGAGCGTGAGTAGGGGAGGGGCAGAGAGAGAGGAAGACAACAGAGTCTGACACAGGCTCCGGGCTCTGAGCTGTCAGCACAGAGCCTGATGCGGGGCTTGAACCCATGAACCGTGAGATCATGACCTGAGCCGAAGTCGGACACTTAACTGACAGAGCCACCCAGGGGCCCTAGCCTTCAGTGGTTTCTTAAGTGATCCTGAAATTAACCACACCTCCACCTTTCAGCTGGTAATTCCACATGACTCTGTTTGAAATCAGTACCATCAAGGGTAGTACATATTCCTGGTTGTCGTTCTTGCTACTAAAATTTAACCTGTCTTCTTTTTAATTTATATTCACCCATACACATACATACCATGGAACCTTACCTTCTTATGTAATACTTTGTAGTAACTCTAGGAATTGTTACTTTTCATTAATCTTACTATAGTATTAATAAATAGTGTTTTCCCTGAGTGTAGTATTGAATGTGATATGATGTCATGAGAAATGACTCTACCCCTATATAAGAAACTGACGTTTAACATAATAAAGTCCTGTTTATCAAGGAGAACGTCATAGTTTGGTGCTAATAAATTTTTAATACTTCTGTCACTTACCAGTATCTCTTTTTAATGGAGATAGTTCTGGTCCAGAGCCTTCAGCTGGGGGAGAGTATTTTAGAATTTGATCTTGTGCGTTTTACTATA